AATCTAGTATTGCATAAAAATACTGACATGGTTAATAATTATTAAATGGTTCTTATATCAGATGTTTTTATGAATTTCCATTGTCACATTAAGAATTTTGTCAAAGCACCTAACTGGCACACACTGAGCCAACGGATTGATAACATACAGTCAAAAAAAATGTCTTTGTTTTAGGGAAAGGAGCAGGTGTGAACAGATTGTTTCAGGACCTTCATGTTCTGAGTTTGATATGGACTCATCCCTGGTGTCTTAAACTTGCTCAGCTGAGTAGGAATAAGGTACATACACGCATTCATCCAGATAACACTACTGTTCAAACGTTTGGGGTCAGTGAGATTTTTTCAATACCTTTGTTCAGCAAGGACACATTAAAGAATCCTGAGAAAAAATGTTTAATCGTTTCCACAAAAAATATTAAGCAGCACAACTGTTTTCAAAATCGATAATGCAAAGAAATGTTTCTTGAGTACCAAATCAGCAGATTAGAAGAACTTCTAAAGGAGCATGTGGCACTGAAGACTGGTTAAAATTTTTTAAATGTATTAAATAGAAAAGTTACTTTAAATTGGTATATTTCGCAAGTTTGTGCAGCATTTCAGTAATAAATCTGTTAATACATTCAGTTACTCATTACAGCAGCTATTTTGATTGCCTTGGTGAGCGTATGAGTTGTAAAAACATTTAAAAATCTTACCAAACCCAAACGTTTGACTAATAACGTACACGCATCATGCCTCATTTTTACAAACACCTTATCAATGGTCACTGATTTTTCTCCATTTCTTATGATATGAAAACCGGTTACTGCATTTTTGTGTGTGATGCAGGGGAAAGAGGAAGAGCCGGCTCCTGTCTTCACAGGTCTGGGTGCAGGTTTGGTCAGCAATTCTGTAAATCCAAATGAATCTGAAAGGTACGCTGTGTTTTATATCAGATTTGAATATTTCCTGTACAACCAATATGCCTCATGCTTCTGTTCAATAAGAGACATCAAAGCTAGAGTAACTCTGAATTGAAGAGGAAAAAGTCTTTCTAAACAATGTAAAAGCATTAGAGAATTTGAGAGGTTAGAGAGGTTTTGGGAGCAATTGGTAAATGTGAGCCTGCTGTGTGTCTTGACACAATCACAGCCAATCACAACATAGTTGATGTCTAATATACAGTTATGTGGAACCAATGAAACATCTCCTAGAAGTCTAAGTCTCCTCCATGCCAGACCAGGTTTGCTCTGATAGTTATAATTCAAATGTGTCTGTCTCACAGGAGAGATGCAACAAGCACATGTTTAGTGGGTGATGGAGAAAGAAATACTGATCCAGTCTCCGTGGTCAGCAGGTCCAATCAAAATCCACAGAATCCAGATGTCACAAACACAGCCACAATGGAAATTTCTGGTGGGGAAGCTGGTGTGAAAACAGTCTCTCTCTCTCTGTTTCCTTTAATCTGCCTCTCTTTGTCTGTCTCATTCTTAGTGTCTCTCTCTGTCTATTGTTCAGGATTTGTTGTGGGTAACGGGCCGTCTTCCAACTGGTATCTGCCGTTTGTAACAGCGGCTGATGCCAAAGTGCTGGAGCATTCTGGGAAATTGCAGTTGCTACTGGAAATTTTACACTGGGCAGAGGAACTACAGGACAAAGTGTGAGGATCACGTTCTTGAATAGAAGTAGCGCTTGATATAAGCTTTGTGCTGGTGGTTATATTCATATAACCCACAGTTCAAAAGAAAATGAATACTTTTAAATTAATGAAAAACTGATAGTAAGAGTTTGCCATCACAAGAATGAATTACATTTTAAAATACTCAAATAGAAACAGTTGTTTCAAATTGTAATAATATTTCACAATATTACTGTTTTACTGTATTTTTGATCAAATAAATGCAGCCTTGATAAGCATAGAAAACTCCTTTCAAAAATCATCCCAAACCCAAACTTCTGAATAGCAGTGTAGATGAAATGTTTGTCAGTTCATTGTTCAGAGTGACACTTAGTTTTTATGAATGCTGTTTGCTTTTTTCAGGTTGGTGTTCAGTCAGTCTCTGATATCGCTGGACCTTATTGAGAGTTTCCTCCTATATGCAGATGAGACCAGGGGGAAAAAATGTTGTCCATACAAAGGTAAATAAACAGTTTACACAGGGGATTGTTTGAAATGTCTTTTGTTCATTTACCATGGTTATGCAAAAGAGTTTGTGTTTGTGTGTATTGTCAGGAGAGAAAGCATGGGTTAAAAATAAAGATTATTATCGTTTGGATGGCAACACCAGTGCTTGTGCTCGCAAGAGATGGGCTCAAGAGTTTAACAACACTAAAAACATAAGGTATACTCAAAAAGTTCAACGTCACATTTAAGGTGTCTGCATTTCCTGTCCTGACTCTTGTGGTTTCCTCTGTTTCAGAGGAAGGTTGTTTCTGATCTCCACTCGTGCGGGGTCTCTGGGAATCAATCTGGTCGCTGCAAACCGGGTCGTGGTGTTTGACGCTTGCTGGAATCCATCATATGACATCCAGAGCATCTTCAGAGTCTATCGCTTTGGCCAGAAAAAAACAGTATATGTGTACCGTTTTCTGGCCCAGGTATACACATACAAATGACAGATAGTATGGAGGGCTTGAGAAGTTTTGAAAAAAATGATATTTCTCTCTCTCTCTTTTTATTTATATATATATATATATATATATATATAAATATAAATATAAATTCATCTCCCTGTCAGTCTAATTCAATTTACTGTAGGAGTGAACAATCTGATTCAAATTCCATCTCATTAATAATGCATACCAGATAGTATTAGTCTGCTGCATCCTTTCTTAACCTATCATTCAGACTTGCAAGATGCAAATACATAATGCAACCAGTGGATGCTAATAATTTTC